GTGGAATAGCTAGGTCATAAGAATATTCTGTGTTCTGCCTTTTGAGGAAACACCAAACTGCCTTCACACAGTGCCACAGTCTTGAGGGTTCTACCAGCCTCTCTCAAACCCATAAGTCTGGTTTGGGTTTGTTGTTTTGGGGGTTTGTTGTGTTGGTTTTGGTTTTGGTTTGGTTTTTTTTTTAGCTTCATTCTTGATGATTTTGAATTTTGTTTTTAATTTTCTTTTTCCCCTTCTCTATCCATATCTCAGTGGTCAGAGTGTTCAGTAGTATCTGGGCACTATTCTAGTTCCTCTGGTTGGAAGGTAATGGAGGCTGTGGTTCACACTGAAAAATGTGTGTATTAAATGATACCATTTTCAAGTACTGTCTTGTTTTTCTCATATTATTTCTTGGATAATCATACTATAATAATAATTAACCACTGCCATTAAATCTTCCTTTAATTACTCATGAATTTTCATGGTAATTATTTAAAACAAACTTAAAAGTGTCTAATAAAATCAAAGCTCTGGTGGCCTACTGCATAGGGAGTTGCACTGCCAACACAAAGGCAGATGGTTTGAATTCACCAGATGCTCCCCAGGAGAAAGATGGACTGTCTCCTGTACGATCTACAGCCTCTGAAAATCCACTGGAGGAGCAGCTCTGAGCTTATGATGGTATGAGAGTGAGCAAAAATATGATCCAACAGGTTTTTGTTTCTCCTCTACCTCCTCCCCGTTTCCCCTCCATTTAATATAGGATGCTTTTAAATGTTAACTTTCAAACAGAAAGCACTATTCTCTTTTATTATGAAATTGCAAAATAAAAAGTACATAATAATAATGAACTACTTTAGGGACAACTTTGAGACCACAGTTGGTCATACGTTTTTGACTTTATAATTTAGCAGACTGCTTTAAGTTAACAGGAAATTGTTTACTGAGATTTCAAATCATTTTAGTTGAGGTAGAATAAAGTGAAAGTAAGATGTTGACATGCAGGTTTGTTTTAAGGAAAGAAAGATGAATATCAGCTCTGCATTCTTGATAAAAAAATATAGCAATAATATGAAGATATCCAAATCATATGTGTACAGTTGTTATGAGCCTTAATCAGAAGGCTACACGATTTCCACCTACACATTGCCTAGTAATAGTTTTTTATGTTATAGTATACATCTCAAAAGAAACAAAATAGCCAAATTTCTCTTCAGCCATTAAAATTCTCTTGTGTATTTAAATGGGTAAATTTAAGTACATTTATGCATGTGGGGAGTGCTGGTGGCCTAGTGGCAAGACGCTGAACTGCAATTCTAAATCATGCAGTTCGAATCCACCAGCTGCTCTGAAGGAGAAGGATGGTCAGTCTCTTCCTGTGCAGTTAACTGCCTCTGAAAACTCCAGAGGACCAGCTATGGGTCTGTTCTAACTTGATGGTACACAACACATTATGCATATACATATGTGTATTATAATATTCATATACATATTATAATATGCATATTATCCCTGTTGAGAGACATCATGGTGGGAAGGGTTAGAGGGTCAGTGAAAGAGAAGCAAATCCTTAACGAGGTGGAGTGGCACAGTGACTACCTCAGTGGTGCGGGATAGGTAGGGCAGAATTCAGCTCTATTGTTCGTAGGTTCAATTAGAGTCATAGGCAACTTGTTGACACCTAACACAACAATAATTTTATGCATATATAAAAAGTATACAGCTGTTAAGGGAACTCAGGTAGCATGATCTGTAGAGAACTGCACTGCTAACTCAAAGACAGGGCCTCTTTTGCAGTCTGAATCTACTAGTAACTAAGCAGGAAAAAGATAGGCAGTCTCTTCCCATGGGATTTACAGCCTCTGAAAACTCATCTCTCTGAGATGATTCTGTCTCAACAGCAATGAATATGAGTTAATACATTTATTTCATTGGATATGGTTTACTCATGTACTTTATACTTTACTAATTTATTTGTCTTTCTCTATAGGTAAAGAGGATGAATATCCCAAAAAACCTTTGGGACAGCTTCCACCTGAATCTCAGTCAGCTGGTATTTATCATATAAGCAATGGACAGAGAAGTATTGGCAAGTCAAGTCCTTACACAGGCGACAAGAGAGAGAGTGGCGCATCTCCCCACAAGAAGCATGAGC